AACTAGTGAAAAGATCCTAAGCCATGTTTAAGGAACAGAACACCAGCATGACTAAAGTATAGGAAGCAAGTAGGGAGAGTTGTATGAGATAAAGTCAGAAAAGGACCAGGATTCAGGTAAAATTTTGGTTTTCACTGTGAGTCAAATAGGAAGCCACTGGAAAGTTTTGAACATTGGAAGACATAATCTGATTCATGTTTTAAAAAGTCTTTATAGGTGATATTCAGATAGTCACCCAAAAAGGGGTAGTGATAGAACTAGATACTTTAGGAGCCTTATAATAATTCAAATAAGGAATATTGATACCTTAGTGTTGGAAGTGGTAAGAAGTATTTGGATCCTCGTATTTTGGGCTAATAGAAGTGTTCTCTGACATACCAAGAGGCGTAAAAGATTATTCCAAGATTTTGGGTCTAAGTAACTGAAAGTATGGAGGTTCTGTAAATGAAGATGGAGAGAGTACTGTGGGTAAAGCATGTACAGTGCGTAGGGAGGCAGATTATTAAGAAATAATGCACAATGGACTTTGGGGATGCAGGGGGAAAGGATGAGAAAGGAATGAGAGATAATAAAAACCTAAAATTTGGTGCAGTGCATACTGCTTGGATGATGGGTGCACCAAAATCTCACAAATCAACACTAAAGAACTTACTCATGTACCCAAACACCACCTGTTCCTCAATAACCTATGGAAATTTTAAAAAGTTAAAAATAAAATTCCTGGAAGGAAAAAAAAAGTCAATTTGGAGAATGTTATGATTGCAATTTCTGCTAGACATACAAGTGGAAATGTTGAGTAGGATTGGATATCTGGATCCAATTGGATGTTTCTGGAGTTCAGGAGAAAAACATAGGTTGTGGATGTAAACTTGGAACTCTTTGACATATAAAGGCATTAAAGTCATAAGCCTGTATGAGATTACCAAGGAAGTGGATTGGAATCAAAAAGAGAAGGTCAAGAAGTGCTCATTTGTGCAACATGAAGAAACTGAAGGGCAGAGAAAGAACCAACAGAGCAGCCTAGGAAGGAGAAGTCATTGAGGCAGGAAGCACTGTAGCAGAATGTATTGTCCTCAAGGGCAAGTGCAGAGAGCTTATCAAAAGAGAAGGAGTGACAAATTGTGTCAAATGTCATTGTTAAGAATGAAATTCATTCTTTATTGTATTTTACAATGCAGAAGCAGGGATAAAACAGAATTGTATGTGTGTGTGTGCTTCTCTCTGTCTCTGTGTGTATGTGTGTGTGCGTGTGTGTGTGTGATAGAGAAACAGAGATATTGTGAAAAAAGATGAGAATTGACAACTTGTTAGAGGAGTTTGGACTCTAAATGGACAGAGAAATAGGGCAGTATCCAGCAAAAAAAAAAAAAAAGGAATAAAAAGAATTTATATTTTGTCATGTGTTTGAGATGAAATAAATGAGAGCATGTTTGTTTGGCTAAATAGAAAGAGAGAAAAAAGAAAGATGTAGGAGTAGGACAGAGAGGAGGAAGGTTGGTGGAGCACCCTGTAAAGGCAGTAAGGGAAGAGACTTAGTATTTTACTGCAACAGGAATGATCAGCTTTAGGTTGGAGGAGGGTTAGTTGACTTAAAGTGAAAGATGGGCCTATAGGTGAAACTGTGATTGTGGGCATCTGGAGAAGTTCTCTTTTGGTGGTGGTGTTAAAAAAAAATATTTATAAAGTCTGATAGCAGGGATTTTAGAGCTGAGAGGATTTCAAGAGGAAGGGAAACATGGTTTGGAAGCAGCAGTGAGGAACAAGGAGAATATCCTTACAATCTTAAGGTACAAAGGTTATCAAAGAAAACAATAGCAACAGCCACCTCAAGAGATGACAGTGGGGAAGGAGTATCCTCAAGGCTCCTGTTGGATCAAAATTTTGAAGAGAAAGATCAAGGAAAGTTAATGATGGAGTAGATTTTGTTAAGGACAGATTATGCGTTCCAAAAAAGCAAAGCATTGAGGCAGAATGGGAGAGGGAGGCCTGGCAGGAGATGTACAGAGAATTATAGAGTTTACAGTGGAGACAAGGAACTTGAGAGTCCAGGGATCCTTGAGATGAATGACAATGGAAGGCTAATGGAAGAATAATATTAGTTCTGATGCCATCAAGTCATGCTGTGGTGGTATGCCTCTGATTACCGCAGGGATGACTGGCGCGTTTGGGAGCCTCCCTCTTGTCACTTGTTAATGTGGTCTGGGAAAGCCAGGTATTTGTTATTTCAGAGTGTGGCTGCTGGAGGCGCAGTTTACCTCCACTGAATAGAAGCTGGGGGCCCCAGGAACCCTTACTTGACCCTTGACTAAGGGCAGAATAACATTGTTCATGGTGTTTTTATTTCTACATCTGTCTTAGTGATTTTTTAAAATGAACTCATCATACTTGGAGTTTTCTTTGTAGGAATTTGAGGTCTTAAAATGCTTTTCTCTAGAGAGGACTTTCTTTTTTTTTAAATTTATCTTTTATTATTATACTTTAAGTTCTAGGGTACATGTGCATAACGTGCAGGTTTGTTACATATGTACACTTGTGCCATCTTTTACTTCTACCTGTTACCTGGTTGCACTAACAATCTTAAAGCAGCATTATTAAAAATTGTATTATGGTAACTGGAATACACAGTTAGTTATATTTCCAACCATAAACCTTTATGAGTACAGATTTGTGGTTAGAAAACCTCAGAGAATGTTTTGCTTTTCTTCTGCTCTACTTGGCCAAGCCTGGGAGAGGCAGTGATGCACACTTCCACTCTTTTTAGGTTAGTTTTCTCTAGATTATCCCTTGAGTCTAGCCCTTCAGGAGTTTTCATTTTATGCAGTGATGGATAATTCAGCCTCTCATCCTGCTCAGGCCGTAGGCAATGTCTCCTGCCTCTGTCGGAGGCTTTCTAAATGCAGGGATGTGCAGGCACCACCTAGACAAACACTGGCTCCAGTGATCCCTTACCCTTCTGGGTTCTCATGTTCTGAGTTTCTGACCTCCAGGAAATGTCTTTCTTCTATACCAGCTCAGCTGTAAACTTAATATTTAATGCACAATCTTATTTCTTCATTGATTTTACATGTGCTACACCTAAAGACATTGCTCTGAACATCTAGTTTGGCCTGTTGCCAGAAATTAAAATCCCATCTTCTTAGTTACAATAAATATTCTAGACATTAAAAAATGGTATACTCAAACAGCAAACACTCATGGACTGACCACACACCTTAAGATATTGCAAATATAGAAATTCTCTAATTTCATCTTTCTCCATTTCTTTTTCAGAGTTCACTTCTATCCTGAATGCTGTGTGCTTAATTTCTGTGTGTTTGTCTTCTTTTACACTATATGTATTTGACCATAAGCAATATATTACCATAATTAATTCTTCTAAAAGTTTATACAAAATTTATATACATGCTGTAGTAGGATGACTTCGACAACCTTGTTTCACTGTTATAATTTTACAATTTAGTGGTTTCATTTCAGAGGTGTAAACTATTTCATTGTAGGTTTCTTCTACAATTTATTTATGTACTCTCCTGTTAATACGTATTTAGGCTGCTTTCAGTTTTTTTGCTATTACAAACAGTATTACTACACAGTTTCTTGTATTCACCCTTCATTGAATTTGTTCATTTTTCTAGTGTATACATAAAGATAGAATTGCATCTGCATACTCAATGTCACTAGATAACTTTGAATTACTCTCTAAACTGATTTTCACAATTTATACTCTCAGTACTTTTTCACAAGTTTTTAACTATTCAGGTTTCCTCTGTTGTGAAGTGTTGTTTAAATTTTTTTAAATTTTCTATTTGGTTGGATTTGTGATTTTACATTTTAATGTGTATTGTCTAAATTCTTGGGAAAGGTGTAGCAATTTACATTCTCATCATCAGTGCATGATGAGATTGCTTCTATGCATCCACATTAGTGATTGATATTATTTTGCTTTTTAATTTTTCCTAACCTAATGAGCAAAAAGTGGTTTTTCATTGTTGCATTATTTTTGTGTTTTTATTACTAGAGAGGGTTATCTTTCTCTAATTCTTTTCTTTTGTGATTAACCTGTTTATATATAACAAACATTTATCTAATTTGTCTAAACACTCATAAATAACACATATCATGTTGTTAGAAAGAGACAGAAAACACTGTAGGAAAATACACTGCAGATAAAAACAGGCTAAATCCAAAAATACAATGAACCATACTTAAACTTCCATTTGATCATGATACATTAATTTTTTGATGCATCATTGGATTTGTTGTTTGGAAGGAATATATATATATATATATATATATATATATATATATTTTTTTTTTAACATGTGCTACACCTAAAGACATTGCTCTGAACATCTAGTTTGGCCTGTTGTATCTATATATATACATAGAGTATATATGTGTGTGTGTGTGTGTGTGTGTATATATATATTCTACATTCAAACATATATATGGCTTCACTTTTTGGATTTCCATCTGAAATCCATTGAGCCTGGTAGTTCAGTATTGGCTATATTATAGGAAGATTTTTATCAAACATGGAACTCTATATTTATTCGAATTTTTTAGTGCAGATAAGAATCACAAATATCAATTTGAACTGAAATAAATCTTATCTGAATGAACATAATTTTTCCATGATATTTGGAATCTCTGGTTCATTTATGATTTCTTGTTCTCAATTTTGTAACTTCCAAATGCATTTTTGAAGAATTGTGCAAAGGGATTTTTTTAATGCCTAAATGAATGAAGAGAATTGATTTGCAGATTTAAGCTAAAAGTGAAAACTATTTTCTGTCATTATTGACTCTTACACATTTGCAGCCCCAAGTAATTAGCCCTTGCATATTGCTTAAATCCCTCTTGATTTAAATATCAAATTAAAAAAGAATAAATGTGTTGGTATATAAAGCTATGCCATAGTCAGTATTACAGAGTGTATTTCACTATCACTGATCAGAGATTAAAGCTTATTTCTAGAGGTTAATTATAAATTTTACACCTACAGTTAAAGTGTCAAAATTTGCCTTTTTCAGTCTTGAAGAAAAAGAGTCTTTTCCCCACAGGTACACTGGTCAGCTTTGTCACTACAAAGACTGCTTTTCTTTCCACATCCTGTAAGAGTGGAAGAAAAAAACAAAAATAAAAGATTAAAAATGAACTTGAAGTGTCTGAATTTCTGTGTCTCTTATTATTTTAAGACTGCTTTGTTATGATACAGAAAATGTCATAACCTCTATTGAAGAATGTGTGGGTTCATAGAGAAAATATGTAAGAAACAAAAGTCGATAAAGATATCTAAATCTCTTATTTCCAATTTTTGCAGTTCTGCCACTTATAGTAAACTGATAGGCAACAATGAAAACAATAAGTATGCTTAATTTCCTGATGTAACATAAAAGCTGTAGAGAAAGACAATTCTTGAACAAAGAATGAAACACATTCAAGAAAACAAAAAGTTTAAATGGTAGTACTAGACATAGAAGGACAAATATTGCATGATCTCAATTATATATAGAATCTAACTAAGTCGAACTCAGAGAAGTAGAGATTAGAACAGTGGTTACCAAGGGCTGGAGTTGGGGTGGGTGGGCAGACGAGAGATGGTTACAAAATTTCAATTAAATCATGTTATACATTTTATATATATATATATTTATATATATATATATACACATATATATATACACACACACACACACTTTTTATTTATCAGTTTTTAAAAATAAATAATTTTAAAAGGTAATACCAACAAAGGAGGAGATTTTAAATGTCAGTAAAGTGAAATTGCATTGGTTGACAATGGGGATACATTCTGAGAAATGTGTCATGATACAATTGCATAATTAGGCAAACATCATAGAGTGTACTTACACAAAACTAGATGATACCTAGTCTATATGGTATATCCTATATCTCCTAGGTTAGAAACCTGTACAGCATGTCACTGTATGGAATACTGTAGGCAATTGTGCCAAAATAGTATTAGTACATCTAAATATGGAAAAGATATGGTAAAAAATATAGTATTATAATCTTATGGGACCACCATTGTATATGCAGTCCATCATTGAATCATCATTATGGAGTACATGACTATATTAATTTATATAATTTTTATTAAGAACATTGCAAATATTTGTTTTTATATTTTTTTTAAAAGTTACTAAATTACATGTGTGTAAGTGACATTGCTGAATATTGGATTCTATAATATTTCAGTTAGAATTTTAATTAACTGAATGCATTTTTAATATAAATAAACAGCTGAATATGTATATGAAAAAATGTGAAAATATTTAAAGTAAAAATATAATGTTATGAAAGTATCAATTATTAACTTTTGGTGTTTATTAAAATAATTATATACAGTGTTTATAAACAACCTGAATCATATTTCATACCTTTTTTGAAAAGTGTTGTTATAATGTGATTTAGAACTTTAAAAATTTTCTCGTTGAGAGTATTTAAAAAGTAAAACAACTTACCAGCTATAATTGTTAACATTTTATGAGTTGAAAATATTTCAATTAATATCTGCCCCCCCCCACAAAAAAGGAAAGACTATCTCAATGTCAAACTAAAAATATCTTGAAATGTATAGAGTTTGCTTTATGAAAAACTTACTCTCTTGGCATTTTTCACATTTTCAGGAGGCAAGTAAAAACTTTATAAAGAACTAATTCCTGGCCCTGGTGTGACATTTTGGTTTAAATTTTAGGCAACATCTGTGGTTTCCATTGTCTTCTTACCCAGCTCTCCACTAATGGACCCTATTGAGCAATATGTGCTTGAGAATCTCTGGGAAATCTCTCTACCACTGCCTTTACTACTAGTGTTTTCCATCAAGAGCTTGCTCTCCAGCTGTGTGAAAACTATGAGAACTGTTTTCTATAGCAGAGAATACCCTGGGAAACTACTAACAGCACAGAGCTATTAAGCTTCCGGAGTGTACAGAGTGGGTAGCTGCAAGTGTCCATGAAGCTTGGATGTCACTGTGGAGAGCCCTGAAGTTCAGCCATATGGCAGGCTCTGGAGCAGTCAATGTTCTGTGCCTTACTCTTCCCTTTCAGAGAGTAGAGGATCTCCTCCCCTAGCCTTGGACTGTAACCCAGGACATTGGTCCCAAAATAGTTCTCTGAATACTAAGGCTTAATGTGTGTGTGTGTGTGTATGTGTGTGTGTGTGTGTGTGAGAGAGAGAGAGAGAGAGAGATATGGTCTGGCTGTGTCCTCATCCAAATCTCATCTTGAATTCCTGCATGATGTGGGAGGGACCCGGTGGGAGGTAATTGAATTACGGGGGCAGGTTTTTCCCGTGTTGTTCTCATGATTGTTAATCAGTCTCATGAGATTTGATGGTTTTAAAAATGGGAGTTTCCCTGCACAATCTCTCTTCTCTTATCTGCTGCCATGTAAGATGTGTCTTTCAACTTCTGCCATGATTGTGAGGCCTCCCCAGTCATGTGGAACTGTAAGTCCAATAAACTACTTTCTTTTATACATTGCCCAGTCTGGAGAATGTCTTTATCAGTAGCATGCAAATGGATTAATACGGTAAATTGGTACCAGTAGAAGGGGGTGCTGCTGAAAAGATACCTGAGAATCTTTTCTGAAAAGATTTTCTGAAAATCTGAAAATATACCTGGAAGCAACTGTGCAACTGGGTAACAAGCAAAGGTTGGAACAGTCTGGAGGGCTCAGAAGAAGACAGGATAACGTGGGAACGTTTGAAACTCCCTAGAGACTTGAATGACTTTGACCAAAATGCTGATAATGATATGGACAGGCCGGGCGCGGTGGCTCAAGCCTGTAATCCCAGCACTTTGGGAGGCCGAGACGGGCGGATCACGAGGTCAGGAGATCGAGACCATCCTGGCTAACACAATGAAACCCCGTCTCCACTAAAAATACAAAAAAATTAGCCGGGCGTGGTGGCGGCGCCTGTAGTCCCAGCTACTCGGGAGGCTGAGGCAGGAGAATGGCGGGAACCCGGGAGGCGGAGCTTGCAGTGAGCCGAGATCACGCCACTGCACTCCAGCCTGGGCGACAGAGGGAGACTCCGCCTCAAAAAAAAAAAAAAAAAAAAATGATATGGACAATGAAATCCAGGCTGAGGTCTTCTCAGATGGAAATGAGGAACTCAGTGGGAGCTGGAGCAAAGGTGACTTTTGTTATGTTTTAACAAAGAGACTGGCAGCATTTTGCCCCTGCCCTAGAGATCTGTGGAACTTTGAACTTGACAGAGCTTATTTAGGGTATCTGGCAGAAGAAGTTTCTAAGCAGCAAGGCATTCAAGAAGTAATTTGGGTGCTGTTAAAAGCATTCAGTTTTATAAGGGAAGTAGAGCATAAAAGTTTGGAAAATGTGCAGCCTGACAATGCAATAGAAAAGAAAATCCCATTTTCTGAGGAAAAATTCAAGCCTGCTGCAGAAATTTGCATAAGTAACGAGGAGCTAAATGTTAATCACCAGAACAATGGGAAAAATGTCTCCAGGGCATGTCAGAGACCTTTGCAGCAACCCCTTCCATCACAGGCCTGGAGGTTTAGAAAAAAAAAAATAATAATGGTTTTGTGGGTCTGGCCCAGGTTCCCCGTGTTGTGTGCAGCCTAGGGACTTGCCCTGCATCCCAGCCATTCTAGCTGTGGCTGAAAGGGGCCAACATAGAGCTTGGGCCATGACTTCAGATGGTGCAAGCCCCAAGCCTTGGCAGCTTCCATGTGGTATTGAGCCTACGAGTGCACAGAAGTCCAGAACTGGGGTTTGGGCACCTCCAGCTAGATGTCAGAAGATATATGGAAATGCCTGGATGCCCTGGCAGAAGTTTGCTGCAGGAGTGGGGCCCTCATGGAGAACCTCTGCAGTGCAAAAGGGAAATTTTGGGTCAGAGCCCCCATACAGAGTTCCTACTGAGGTACTGCCTAGTGGAGCTGTGAGAAGAGGACCACTGTCTTTCAGATCGCAGAATGGTAGATCCACTGACAGCTTAAATTGTGTGCCTGGAAAAGCCACAGACACTCATGCCCACCTGTGAAAGCAGCTGGGAGGTGGGCTGTACCTGGCAAAGTCACAGGGGTGGAGCTACCCGAGGCCATGGGAGCTCACCTCCTGCATCAGCATGACCTGAATATGAGACACAGAGTCAAGGGAGATTGTTTTGGAGCTTTATGATTTGACTGCTCCACTGGATTTTGGGCTTACACAGGGCCTGTAGCCCCTTTGTTTTGGCCAATTTCTCCCATTTGGAATGGGTGTATTTACCCAATGCCTGTACCCCCACTGTATTTAGGAAGTAGCTAACTTGGTTTTGATTTTACAGGCTCATAGGTGGAAGGGACTTGTCTTGCCTTGGATGAGACTTTGGACTTTGAAGTTTTGGGTTAATGCCAAAATGAGTTAAGACTTCGGGGGATTGTTGGGAAGGCATGATTGGTTTTGAAACATGAGGATATGGGATTTGGGAGGAGCCAGGGGCAGAATAATACAGTTTGGTTGTGCCCCCACCCAAATATCATCTTGAATTCCCACTTGTTGTGTGAGGGACCTGGTGGGAGATAACTGAATCATGGGATATGTCTTTCCCATGCTCTTCTCATGATTGTGAATAAGTCTCATGAGATCTGCCGGTTTTAAGAAAGGGTGTTTCCCTGTGTGAGCTCTCTTCTCTTGTCTGCCACAATGTGAGACATGCTTTTCACCTTCCACCATGATTGTGAAGCCTCCCCAGCCATGTGGAATTGTAAGTCTGATAAACATCTTTCTTTTGTAAATTGCCCAGTCTTGAGTATGTCTTTATCAGCAGCATGAAAAGGGACTAATACAGTGTGTGATTCCTTTCAGTATTTTCATTTGCAGAATTTCATTCTCTAGGACTTGGATACAAATTCTTAAACTCCAGTCCAGAAGACAAATCTTAATAGCAAAAACAATGTCCATTCTGACAACTGGAGCATTGTAATTATATTGAGCAATGGTTGTGTGCTCTCCATTATCTGTCCTATTAAAACAAGTTTTTTATCCAAGTTTCCCTGCAATTAATTCATTGGCACAATCACTTCATCATTTCTCAAGACATGCATATATGTGTTGATGAATGCTAAAAGCTCTGATTCA